GATGCGCAGTTTCCCCTTCGGTGCACAAATGAGGGTAAAAAATTGATGATTGGGCTGAAATTAGGGCCTTAATTAGAGCATATTTAGCTTTGTTTTGGTTTACTTCCTTTTTGTTTTATTCGTTTGTTTTGTTTTGTCTTGGTTGGTTATATTTTGGTACTTACTATATATTTATTGTATTTCATTTGTTTTGGACGGGGGTGGGGTGAGGTGGTTGTTTTGGTTTTGTTATACTTTCTGTTACAAGTATAAGTATACTAGGAATCTTTTCTTACAAGAAATTGGTATGAGACCAACAAACAGCAAAATAATGCTGTACCTATTACAATTGTATTTTAAATAGAAGTTTAAAAATCAATACACATTTCTGCAAAGGAAATACAATGGCACGAAAGAAAGTGACAGTAGAAATACAATGGAAATATAGATACAATGGCAGTATAATAATACAGGTCAGGGTTGGTAAGGAAGACTACGGGAACAGTCCGACGATGTACGTGTGTTACGGAAACGTCCGAGTAGTTCCGAATGGGAAACAACAGCCATAACCACAAGCTGGCGTCAGTTTTCCAGAATGTCAACAGTAACACGCGTACTTACCAAATGCCATGTCTTCTTAACGTGCTACAAATGTAGATTGGAGTTTATCAGTTTCAAACACTGCTATCTTGGACAAACACCATGTGCGACTTGACCGGGGTCAGCGACAAGATACCAGCTTGGGGCGCGTTGCTGTGAAGTACATGTCATAAGCTTGAATGCTTGACCAACAGTGTGTAAATCTCACCAGTTCATCTTAAGGTGCCCAAGATGTCTTTCTACCAAGTAAATCTTATTAGCTTGAATGCTTGACCAAACGTTTTTACCTCTTACCAGTCCATCGTACTTGACGGCCTTCTGCGAAGTAAATCTTATTAGCTTGAATGCTTGACCAAACGTGTGTACCTCTTACCAGTTCATCGCTTTGTTAGTTAAATCATACTATAGTATACTCATGTCAATAATGGTTGTCACACCCTTCAATTTTTTTAATTGGAGAGGGGGTGTGGGGTTGGGGTGTGAGGTATGTGTGGGGTTGGGGTGGGAGGGGGTGACAACCATTATTGGCATGAGTATATATTGAAATTAATGGTAGGTGTCTATATACAAGTGCAATTAAACCTAGTATTGCTATGAAGTACTTATCTGGGAAAGATTCTGTGATCATTTGCCTTATATTTTCTTGCTCAAAACAACTACCCATTAAAATGTCATGTTTTTGTCGCTTACAGTATTTTGATCCAATATAATGAACATTAAATGAAAACATAACTCTTGTTTTGGATTGGTAAACATATCTGAATGAAAGCTATTTTTTAGATTTGAAAATAAACATTCTTGTGTATAAAATCGTGTCTTTTTCATATCTGTTCGGTTTTCGGATCCGCTTATATTCATCTGTTTCAAGAAAATTGTGCACGATTCACCTTTGATATTTCCCCAACACACGCAGCGCAGGTATTCCTGGCGCATTTATCCGGTAAAACCACCGCAAACAGGCACTTGACACACGCGACATGGTACTGGTCTATGACGCTGGTGGTGATTAGACAAGAAAGCGAGGGCTCACGAAGGCTCTAATCTGACACGAGATCCAGCGGGATTAGACAAGACACTTCCAGATCCTACAGTCCTTGACACAGCTGGCGACGTTGCTAAATCCAATGCTGTCACAGACTATGTGGCGTTATATCCCCTTCCCCCAACCAGGTCCCCCGACCAGCCGTACATTGCCGTCTTCTCCAACACCGAACTATGACGGATGTCCGGGTGGTTAAAGCGCTTGCTCGGCACGCCGAGGACGGGGTTCGACTCCCAGTATAGATAAATGTTGATATGCAAAATATCTTGCTGTGGTGTGACGGACATATTGCCTCAGCCCTACATGTCACACACCACAATTAAACATCTTTTACTTCCTTTCTGATCTCAATCTCTAATAATCTGTTTCCACTTTCAGTCTGATTATTTTAGACTAAGACATTTTATCTCGTTTCTTTAACTTTGCCTTATTGTTTCATTATCTTTTGAAATAATCATAATGGACACCCCATCCCCAATACACACACACCTCACATATCTCCCACACACACGTACGTACACCCACATACCTAAACACGCCCATACCCACGTGAACACACACATACACTCAATCACTCACTCACTCAACTCTTGACTTGACTACTCATACCACCGCTCACTCAAATGTTCACTCAACTGCTCACTTGACCACTCAACTATTCAATCACTCAGCTACTCGCTCAAGTACTAATTCAACCAGTCACCCAACTACTAATTCAACTACCCACTCAACCACTCACTCAACTATTTATTCAGTCAATCATTCACTTTTTCACTAAACCACTCAACTATTCACTCGACCAACCATTCAGTTTTTCACTCACTCAATCACTCAGCTACTCATTCAACCGCTCACCCAACTACTAACTCAACTACTAATTCAAGTACCCACTCAACCATTCACTCAGCCAATCATTCAGTTGTCCACTCAACCACTGAACTATTCATTCAGGCAATCATTCAGCTTTTCACTCAACCTCTCACTCACCCACTCAACTATTCACTCAGCTACTCATTCTGGCACTCACTCAACCACTCACCAAACTACTAACTCATCTACTAACTCACGTACCCTGTCAACTATTCATTCAACTATTCACTCAACCAACTAACCACCTGTGCTATTAACTAACTTTTAATGTGTGAAGCCATGTCTGGCAGCCGCCGTGATATTACTAAATACGGCGTAAAACCACACTCACTCAATCACTCATGAATATTACCGTAGCAATCAACCAATCGCCACCAGCATTGTATATAATTACTAAATCAAATTCAGACCTTAATTAGCTCAGCTATCAAACCCCTCTTAGATTACACCCTTCTTCTCTCCCTCCAACTCCCAAACGCCCCCCTCAATTCCCCGCGTCTTTCTGTTCCGACATTTTCACTGAGGCTAATTAAATGATCGTGCACATTAGAGTGAGCTCTCAACTCCTCCCGTCCCCCACCACCTGTTTCATGGAGCGAATCTCAACAATATCACTACTGCAGGTACACGCTGTCGCTGTCTCAGATTGCTTCTTTAGCTCGGTTAGCTTTTACTGAAAACAACTTGATCGATGAGCTGTGTTTTTGTTCGAATTGAATCCCTGCGATGCCTCGAGATGACAGCGTTTGGCTTACGTTTCCGACAGTGCTGCCAGAAATCGCAGCGAAGGTGCGAACACTGCCATCCAATGTGACAAGTTATATACATCACGGCGTTCCCTCTCGGGGATTTGTGAGTGAGTGAGTGAGTGAGTATGGTTTTATGCCGATTTTAGCAATATTCCAGCAATATCACGACAGGGGACACCAGAAATGGGCTTCACACATTGTCCGGGTCTTCGGCGTGACGAGTGAACTCTTCCACCTCTAGTCTACCCCACAGCCCCATCTAGGGGATTAGTGTTTTAATGGAAGACGGTAATATCAGTTGGTCACAATGGCGGTTGGTTGTTTCATGTTCAACAGGGGGACTGGTGTTTCAGAAGTCGAAAGCATGGTTTCAGTGTTTTGTCTGTCAGTTAGGTTTGATTTGGTTCAGTTAACCCTTGTTATCCACAAAGTTTGTTCTATACTCATGCCAATAATGGTTGTCACCCCTCCCCGACCCAACCCCACACACCTCACACCTCCCACCCCTCTCCACTAAAAAATTGAAGGGATGACAAACATTATTGGCATGAGTATATATTGTACTTCCCAACTTCTAAAATGCCACTCAAAGAAGTTAACCCTTGGTTTGACACCGTCATTATTATGTCCTACAATAATTTGAAACTGGTGTGGCACTCTGGAACACTGTTACAGTTCAAAGCGAGACTACGTTAGTTTAAACCTAACGTCGCAAGAACAATCTTTCAATCATATACCAACGACAAAGCAGGAAACTCAAATCACTCACTCACTCCATATTTCTCATATCTATTGTAAAATACTGGCTAATATAATGTGTAAATTATTAAGACATAGATCTTGCATCTCTCTCCTGTCAAGCGTATACCTTATGCTGATCACCAGAACCGAAGCTCACAATATCAACCATTGGTTTCTTCTGGTCGGCCCCCTTATGACACTATGCAGAACTTTTACTTTGATATTTATATGTTCATCTTACATGTACTCCACCCGTTCACTCATATACTCCATACCTATCCCCAACCCTCAGCCCAAGTAGTGATCCTCTGAGACAGAAATGTATTTTCTGGGAAACAAATTTTGCGCGCTTCATTGACGGTTCAGTACAGGTGAAAATAGGCCTAGGTGTTACCAGAAATGACGTCACAAACCTTGTATTGACGTCATGCTGATATGTATCTAACAGTCTTCAAAGAGTTGCAATGCAAATATTTTGGTAAGTGGGAGTTGGGTATTGTTTGACAGTCTTGAACACTGCTAACCTATTAATGTATCTGGATACAACAATGTGTTACTTAAACCATCCTTGTTAATACCCTTGGTAAATGTCAGTTCCATGAGAACAAATAACGCTCCACAACGGTGTACGTATGATCGTGTGATCGATGAAATAGATGGAGTCACTTTTGACTCCATTCGGGTTTTAATTAAGGCGAACTCATATCAGAAATGCCTATGTTCAAATCGATTGACAATACGATAGAGTACGAACAAATGTTCTGACAGATTCGATTAGCTTTCTCCATTACCCTAAATCCATGGTCGACTGAATCAAGCAAACATTGACCCGGATAATCCCACTCGTCGACCTATTGTGCAGCATGAAGTAACACTACTTATTTACAAACTAGATTGTCGTCTTTGCACCTCATCGAAACGGTTGTTTGCTTTGTAGCCTCCAAAGCGCTTCCTCCTTAGCGACTAAGCTCCCTGTGCGGAGCCTAGACCGATGTGAAGGTATCTGGTTGTAGCCTAGTTCAACCTGCAGAGTGTGAGGAGGTATGTTAGCGCACAGTCGATAGTGGAAGCTGCGAGCGGCGAGTCAGAGCCTTGATCGCACACTAGGCTGGACTTACTGGATTGCAGCAGACGACAGTTGGAGTAGCAGACGATATCCGGTGGAGGAGCAGACGACATGGCGGTTACACCATGTGAGATGATGATGTAGTCTGTGAACATGTCTCGTGAGCGCACCATTGTTGTCACACATGCAGTATGTATGCACATGCACGTGCATTTTATTTATTTCATTTTCGTTTTATTGTCACAGGTGTTGATGGGATGTTTGATTAATCTCAGTTTTGCATTCTACTTTGTTTCGTCAAAAGCCTGTTCATGCAATCATTTCAGTTTATTTATTGTCAATTTTGGTTGTATTATTTGCAAGTATCATATACACGTTTGTGTCAATAATATACCATATATTTTTGCATTATTCTGGACGTTACATCAATAAACACTTCTAACCCTACACTTGCCATGATAGAAGTACTGGGGTAATCGTTAACACGTTTACCAGGTGTGTAAGGGTTGTTTTATATATAGACTTTCTCCTTCAGCCATAACGATAATTGCCTCTCTGGCTAACCTAGTGCCGACCTTTATTAAAAAATATATCAACGCTCCCGAGATACTTCCCCAGATTGACATATCGCACCTTCTACTAGCATGGACACCTGGACACATAGTCACGTCCCACATGCATTGTAATGCATATATGCATAGAGCTACATTATCATTTTGCCATTTCCATGTGATCTTTGTACTGTTCCTCCTAATTCATCTTTAAAAGATGAGCTTATTACCAATAGTTGAAGTCTGTATTATTGAAATGTCATGCTTTCCAGAGCTGCCTTGCGTGTTTTGCCTAATTCGTTATACCATTTGCATAAGATAAAATATTTGTGTTGGAACTATTCAATCATTTGAAGCAAAGATAAACCAGGTTAATTTGAACTTCCTAAATGACGCTTACGATGGTACAGAAGTATGTCCGGCATTTGTTAAGCGTGTTGTGACAGTGTGGTTCAAACTCATTACATTATTTACAAAGCTAAATGAATGCAACGTCAATAAAACAATCAATCAGCAGTTTACCCTGTTTCTTCCCAAAACTCACTTCAGACCAGCTGAACAAATTTAGTGCATGGGAATTAAATCCGAAGACTTTTCGAAATTCTAATGAAAAAGAAAAGCAATTTAGAAGATTGAAACGCCACATCGTAAACTGAAAATAGTCACCACTTCTCAAATTGTTTCCGTTTTCTGAGCTTGTTCTGGGATACGTGTTTGTCATCTGAACGTCATCGCCTAGCCTGTGTCACAGTCCCTGAACCACATTATTTTCACTACAGCCTGGCCCTCCTGCAATGCTATATAAAACACTATATGAAGAAAGTCTAGATTTACCCAGGTTCACTAGGGTGGTGGGGTAGCGTTATGGTTAAAGCGTTAGCTCGTCACGCCGAAGATCCGGGTTCGATTCCACACATTGGTACAATGTGTGAAGCCCATTTCTGATATTGATGGAATATTGCTTAAAGCGGTGTAAAACTACACTCATTCCCCAGATTCACAGGGGCTCCTTGACAATTTAAATTGGATTATTTAACTATCAGAATTTTATATATTTCGAGAGTGAACGTTAGTCTAGTCAGAGCCAGAAGCACACACCCCTCCACACCCCTCCCACACACCATTCCCACATACCGCCATACGCGTAACACAGTGTCATCTACAGGCTCTGTTATCTTTGTCCGGCGTTCTGTCCCACACGAGTTCGAGGTGTGAAGCACGTTACGTTGCCCCCGCGTTGAAGTGGAAGTAATTGTAGCGTTACGTTTGACGTTAACAACACGCTCCAGCCCACTCGCTCTCCCAGACCACACCCTGGTGTATTTCCCGCAGTCAAGTCACTTAGACTCAACTTTGAAATATCAATCTTTGTCAAAGCAAGTATCACATTTCCATGTTAGCGTGTCATGATCATCTTTTAGCATTCCAACATATGCCGAAGTGCAGATCTCTTATATTAATGCCAAGTACCCTGTAAAAATTTTAATGTGATCTGTTAACGTGGAATTTGCAAAAAGCAATACACCGCTCACTATTTTGTGATCTGTTGATGTGGAATTTGTAGAAAGCTATAATACCGCGCACTTCATGAATAACACATAAACAAGATTCGCAATGTAATTTAGGAATTTTGTAGTGCACAAGTCGATAAATATGATCCACTGTAAGTCTAAGCTTGATCCACCCCAGTAACCTATTGGCATGAATGAACAGCTGTGATCTGGGATCACCCTAACCTACACAGTATTTCATATATAGTATGACCAGAAATTATTGAGAATTTTAGGAATATGTTTAAATGGATTTCTAGTATAAACAACCTTGACCAGCTATCAAGTGCTTGGTTTCATTCAAGAGAGACAACTCCGTTAATCCTTTTTCATTAGTTTGTGAAGAGTTATCCCTGTTTGTTTACTTGCTAGCAGACGACATTTTCAGTGATCCTCAGTATGGATGATTTAGAGAAGAGAAAGTTGATTTAAGAGTATTATAACAAGGACTTCAGGTCAACTAAAGTGATTTCAAGTAGAACAGGCATGACTTTGTCCACTGTTTATCGTGTTTTGAAAAATATTGCAAATGGATATGGAATTGAGCACCAGGGAGGCGCAGGTAGGCCCAGAAAATTGACTGTCGGTGACAGGAGGCGGCTTGGTATTCTTGTTTCTAACAACAAACGAAGGAGTTTAGAAAACTTAAGGCTGGATATGATTGTTAGAGGAACTGTGGCTGTCTGTAAGGAGACAATTAGAACTGAGCTGCATGCAATGGGTTGGCAGAAAAGTCGAGGAATTCCATCACCGATCATGAAACCTGAACAAAAGGAGCGAAGGTTGAACTGGTGCTTACAGCATAGAAATTTTAACTGGGACAATGGGATTTTCTCAGATGAAAGTTCTGTGTGACTGTTTCCTAATACACTGAAATTCTGGACCAAACAAACTGAAAAACCTTTGTATCAGCGCCCAAAGTACAGTCCGAAATTTAACATGTGGGGTGGCATATTTGTGTTAGGGGCAACGCCCCTCTGTGTATTTGCAGGGAATATGAACAGTGAGCGGTACACAGATATTCTCGAGGGACATTTACTTCCATCTGCTCACGTGTTCTATGGAAATATTTGGATTTTCCAGCAGGACAACGACCCAAAACATCGTTCAAAGCATTCACAGGCCTGGTTTCGGACCCAAAATATGACATTATTAGATTGGCCAAGCTATAGCCCTGACCTAAATCCAAAAGAAAATGTTTGGGGACTTATGAAGGAAAGTGTCAATAAGAAAAATCTGACAAATATTGCTGAAATGAAAGAAGAGGTGGTCCGATATTGGGACAGCTTGGACCACGACTTTCGAACTTCTTTGATCAGTAGTATGCCCCGCCGCATTGAAGCCTGCATTGCTGCCCATGGTGACTTGACAAAATACTAACTGTTCACCTGTCTTTGAATCTGGAGTTATGTTCTGCTAATATTCACATTAAATACGTGAGTAATGAGTGAAATTTTGTTAAAAATTACAATCTTAAATTCTCAATAATTTCTGGTTGTACTGTATGTTTCTGGCGCTTGTAACCATATCGAGAAATACTTCAAATAATTGCTCGAAGCGAAGCAGGCGCGACTACCAGAATAGCTTCTCCCCCAAGAAAACAATATACCTCTCGTTTTTGTATTACCTCCTGTGTTTCATTTTAAGCCAGTTCTTTCACTGCTCGGAGTTAAATTAACGCACCACACCGTGTGAGACGCCTGTCGGTTGCACCGCGCTGGCCTGAGACCATGCATTACTTATAAGATCTGGTTACAAGTTAGCTTGCTGTGGTCATTGTCGAGGTTTCTTCGAGATAAATCTCTCGGACTTACGAATGGCTGTTTCGTGACATTGCGATTAGCGGTTGCAATCCTTATAGCAGGACATGCTGACCTTTTACACGAACGCCTTGTGTAAGCACTGATTATCAGTGATCCATTTTTTTGTCATTTCCATCAATATGTATTTTCTGAAGTCCTATTTTCGGAGATATTGGAAAATGATTATTCTCTGGCGTTTTGAATTTCCGAGAATATTTTTTTTTTCAAAGTCATTGTCGGTAATCCACTTAAAACTGCAAGAAAATAGCAAAATCACGAATTTTATTAAGACCAATATCTTAATGTTCCTACTGGGTGGTAAGAACAAAACAAAATTCAGTAAATGTGCAGTTGGGTTGGGAAATTTGGCAGAATGATATTTCAGTGTCTCGTCTCTTTCCATGTCTGTCATCTTGACCAACTCATGTCGTTAAGGGGGGCGGTGGGGTAGCCTATTGGTTAAAGCGTTAGCTCGTCACGCCGAAGGCCCGGGTTCGATTCCCCACATGGGCACAATGTGTTAAGCCCATTTCTGGTGTCCCCCGCCGTGATATTGCTGGAATATTGCTAAAAGCGGCGTAAAACTAAACTCAGTCAGTCAGTCATGTCGTTAAGGTGCGGTGGGTAGCCTAGTGGTTAAAGCGTTGGCTCGTTACGCCGAAGGCTCGGGTTTGATTCCCCACACGGGTACAACGTGTGAAGCCCATTTCTGGTGTCCCCCGCCGTGATGTTGCTGGAATGTCGCTGTGTAAAACACAACTTACTCACACACTCGTGTCACTGACGTTACCAGCTTCCAATCCATTTTCTAAAGTGACTGACAAGCGTCTTTGGGGTTAACCAGATGTAGGTATGAAATCACTTCCTCGACACAGCTACCTCCAAACAGACAGCGTTCATAAGGCTTCGCTGACCGAGTCCTTGTTTGACGGTTTTTTGAAGGTATTCTTTACGACAAGTTGTTTGCTTCCTCGACTTGTTGTTGGCTTCCTCCGCCCTTTGAAGTACTCTGTCTCACAGTTTCCGTCCAACATTTGTAGATGTAGAACCTGCATGTACTCGAATGTTTGCAAATTGCTGATAAATTCTCTTTACCGTTTTCTTATATACTAGGTACCAGCTCTTTCCTCAGATTGATATATCTAACGAGTCTTTCAGACCAAATATACCTGGATATCCATGTCTGGAATCACGTCTCATAATGATTTTCCAATTACTGGACTTTAATAGTATTATTTGTTCGTTTCAGTTTCTCAACTATTCCAACTTTTATTCCATACTGCATA